AATATATATAGAAGTGCCTAACGTGTCGTCTGACACCCTAGAAAAACACAATTTTTCGATAGATTCTGTTGCTGGCGGCTGCTAGCAGTAAAACAGGTTCGAACAAATCACCTCCCGGGGGGGAAAGCACCAGGGCTCTGAAGGACGAGCGAGTGCCAGAACCACGCCAAAAAAGTGCCTAACGTGTCGTCTGAAATCCTAGAAAAAGCTAGATTTTTGGTAGGCTGCTGGCTACTGGCTGCTGGCTGCTACTGGCGCTGGCTGCTACTGGCGCTGGCTGCTAGCTACTGGCTATGTGCACCTTTTGCGTGCTCTTGCCCACGTTCTTGACACCCATTGGTGCCATCCTAGAAAAACACAATTTTTCGTGCTGCTAGCTGCTGCTAGCTGCTGCACTGCTGCCGTTGCGCTTACTGCTGCTGCGTCTGCTTGTGTCTGCTGCTGCCTACTGATGCTTGCTGCTGCCTGCTGCTGCCTGCGGCGGCCTGCTGCCTGCTGCTGGTGCTGCTGCTGGTGGCTGCTGCTGTGGTGCTGCTGTCGTGCTGCTGCAATCAAACAGCTTCCAAAGCAAGAAACAACTGCTGCTGCTGCTGCTGCTACTTCTGCTGCTGCTGCTGCTGCCTTTTTGCGTGCTCTTGCCCATGTTCTTGACACCCATTGGTGCCATATAAATGAGAAAATTGCCAAACGTGACGTCTGAAACCCTATAGACATATATACAAGATATATAGAAGTGCCTAACGTGTCGTCTGACATCCTAGAAAAACACAATTTTTCGACAGATTCTGTTGCTGGTGGCTGCTAGCAGTAAAACAGGTTCGAAAAAATCACCTCCCGGGGGGAAAACACCAGGGCTCTGAAGGACGAGCGAGTGCCAGAACCACGCCAAAAAAGTGCCTAACGTGTCGTCTGAAATCCTAGAAAAATCTAGATTTTTTGGTAGGCTGCTGTGGCTGCTACTGGCGCTGGCTGCTAGCTACTGGCTATGTGCACCTTTTGCGTGCTCTTGCCCACGTTCTTGACACCCATTAGTGCCTGCTGCCTGCTGCTGGTGCTGCTGCTGGTGGCGGCTGCTGCTGTGGTGCTGCTGTCGTGCTGCTGCAATCAAACAGCTTCCAAAGCAAGAAACAACTGCTGCTGCTGCTGCTGCAGCTTTGTGTTATTGGTTCCATGGCTGCAAGAATGTTGTTGTTGTTGTTGTTGTTGTTGCTGTTGCTGTTGCTCTTGCTGTTGCTGCCATAAAATAAAATTAAAATAGAATCCTGCTGCCTGCTGCCTGCTGCTGCCTGCTGCTCCTGCCTGCTGCTGGCTGCTGCCTGCTGCTCCTGCCTGCTGCTGGCTGTTGCTGGCTGCTGCTGGCTGCTGCTGGCTGCTGCTGGCTGCTGCTGGCTGCCTAACGCCGGCTGCTGCTGGTTGCTGCTGCCGGATGCTGCCTGCCAGACACCTACTGCTGCCTGCTGCTGGCTGCCTGCTGCTACCTGCTGCTCCTGCCTGCTGCTGGCTGCTGCCTGCTCCTGCCTGCTGCTGGCTGTTGCTGGCTGCTGCTAGCTGCTGCTGGCTGCAGCTGGCTGCCTAACGCCAGCTGCTGCTGGTTGCTGCTGCCGGATGCTGCCTGCCAAACACCTACTGCTGCCTGCTGCTGGCTGCTGCTGGCTGGTGCGGGCTGCTGCTGGCTGCTGCTGGCTGCTACCGGCTGCTACCTGCTGCCTGCTGCCTGCTGCTGCCTGCTGCTGCCTGGTAGTAAAAGTAGCAGTGCAGCACCTCTTCTTCCCTTACGCGCTCCCCCTTGCATCGGCCGGGGTCAGCGAATTATTATTATTCTTTCCTGGCAGCTGTGTCATAAACTCTTTTTCCCTTACGCACTCCCCCTTGCGTCTGCCGGGGTCGGCGGATATATATATGTAATATATGTACCTTATCTACTTATATCTGGGTGAGTTTTAGGGTACGGACATGATCTTACTTCTCTGCTCCTTGCTCGAGTGTGAGGAGGAGCGGTGGTACCCCTAAAATGTATGGCTTATAATGGAATATCCTAATAAAATGGATGATTTGGGGGGTACCCCCATTTATGGAATTTTCATATTTATGGAACCCCCATATGTATATACACATATATGTGTATGTATGTAATGTAATGTAATGTAATGTAATGTAATGGTATGGTATGGTATGGTATGGTATGGTATGGTATGGTATGTATATATAAATATATATATATATATACATACTCATATATGTATATATGTGTACACATATGTAGATTGCTGTTAGTTGTCACGCATTCCAGATGAAAGCTGGGCTGGCTACATACATACTATAAATTATACATGTTATTTAATGCCCAAATGGTATAGAAATATGGTTACCTAATGGGATTTATACGTATTTAGATTGTAGTGAGATTATTATGGGACATATTGTGATATACCCTCTGTTTATTTAACGTAGCTATGGAAAATCACATTTTTTTTCATAGGTAAAACATCATAATTCATCCACAAATGGGCCATGTTCCACAGTTATGTTAGATTTATCAGAGGGTAAACGCAATATATTTATAGCTATCTCCGATATCTCCACAGTCCGATGCCACCCAGGTGACGGGTCGTGGTCCAAAGACAGGCGGCCTTAGACTACACTTTTTCATGATGATGCGATGAGATGATGTGGATCAGATAGACAGAAACATCCATGGATGCATATATATATATATGTACATATATGATATATATATATATATAATATTTCTACACATTAATATACACCTTTTATAGAAAAAAATCAGGAAGGCATCACCAAATAGGCGCACCATTCCAATGGGGTTCCGTTGGTGAAATCCATGGTTCGTAGTACATTTTTTTTCCTATGAAATATTCCCATGGTTTTATCAATTTAAATACCCATTTGGATGGTTCGATTGATATAATCAGTATCCTATTAAACCCAACTGGACTTCTCTATTCTTAGTACTTATATCATATCATTTATATATTCCCCTAAAATCTTCGTAAAAATTCCCCTAGTTGGGGTTAACGTCCATTTGGTCGTCGACCTGGACCGAAGCCCAGTTTTTCCCATGGAGGCTGGGTCAGCATCAAAGTCTCCGGCAAAGACCTGCTGGTGAGGCCTGGGATCCAGACTGCAGAAGTTTGCGAATCGGGAACTGGAACACCTTTTTTGCCAGTAACGGGGAGGAAAGCAATGCTTGTGGCCTCAGAAAAGTATTTTTCCGTTTCTGTCTCTTTTTCAGTCTTCAGTCAGAAAAACTGCAAATGCCACAGTGGCCAAAGTGCTTTATCAGCTAGCAAGTTTTCATATTTGAGCCTGAACAAAGGCTATGAGTTTGGACAAACCTTGGTGACTCGAGAGTTCCTAGACATCAACTTGATGTATGGGGTTATGCCGGTTATGCATTTGGAGTATAGCTCTATGAATCTTCACCCCGTTGCAACAACCGTAACGATCCCCATTGTGTAAAATAGCATTGCATAAGCTATCTATGTTTCAAATATCACACCTCTATATTGACATTGTTCAATGAACACATGACTGGTATATTAAAACATAATTAATAATTACAGTTACCCTCTGGTAATTTAACATAGCTATCTTCAAATGACCATAGAAATAGTGGATTTTCCCATGAAAAATGGTGGATCTTTCCAGTTCGCTATGTAAACGTTTACCAGAGGGTATAACACCAGCTTTAAAAACACCAACGTTGTGCTTGAACCAAACAGGTCCCCGCAACGGCTCAGGTGCAGTGATCCTGAAGTACCTTCCACCTGCGAGGCGGGTTCCCGCCTCGGATGTCTTGGGGATTCCCCTTGTTGGGTGGGATTGATTCCCATCATGTTTTGGTGCTATAGATAAATATAGATGATAACAACTTCTCGACATGTACATAGACAATCATTAATACAGTCATATACATCGACTGGTGGATACATCAGATGCAGAAATGAGTTACATCCACATATTTATCCATGATATTCATCAACATTTCCCCAATCTGATCAATCTTATCCACATCCATCAACGTTTCCCCAACATTTACCCAACATTTCCCCAACATTTTCCAAGAAATCGATCCAGAAATCTGTCTCCACATCTGTCTCCTTCGCCGGAGCCTTGAGGCGACCTCGGACAACGAGCCACCAGAACTGGCCCGGGCGCCCAGGATGTGATGTAACATCCCAGAAGCTGAAGCCCAGCTGGTTATGACATTCACAGGGCCAGCCATGGAAAGATCCACCAATTTTTAAGTTCGGTAAACCCTTAGGTAAACCATCTATTTCGATCAATGGGCCATCTATACCATGGCGAACTGTTAGTCATAAGCAGGGGGTAATTGAGTTACATAGTCAGATCAACTACATCTTACTGGAAGCTAAGAAAACTCATCACATTGATTTATGAACTTGAGTCACTTAAGTTTTTCATTGATGTGGATGAAAGATGATCTAACTTTTTTCTTTTTAACCTGATTTAGCTTGATGTAACAGCAGCAAACACATGGGGATTGAAACCACCAGGCAGTATTTTTAAGTTGGCTCCTTTTGAACGCGGATGCGCAGATGTTCAGGAATTGGAGTAAGTTTGGTATCTGACCCACCGAAAATGGGTCTTCAAATAAACATGGCAAGCATCATATCAAGAAATGAGAGCTCACTTTTTGGTAGTATATGTTAGTATACTGGTTGGTGGTTTCAAACATTTCCATAATATATGGGATAATCCTTCCCATTGACTGGTATTTTTCAAGATGGTTAAAACCACCAATCAGTATACATTTTACATAATTTTTCAAAAACTTGGGACTTTCACCAACACATTTGGGGGGTTCCTAAGTCATGGGGGTCACCTCAGTTATCATCCAGTCGTCATGGATGACCATGACTTACTATTGAAACAATCATGTTGACTTGGGGATCCCCCATTTGCTAAGTAGAAATCAGTAGGCTTAATCGACGTTCACAAAACTGGAGTTTTCACTCACTAACCGTTACTTACCGATTCCTAGGAGGAACCACCAATTTATAGCCTCTGGTAAACGTTTACATAACTATGGAAAATTAACATTTTGAATGGTGTTAAGTCAACGATTTCGACGGGGCCATGGCTTCAATGTCGCTATTTTTTCTTTACCAGAGGGTAAATATGACAATCCCATTGACATCCTGAATCTCATTCTGGATCGCGATAGGGAAGTGGCGATCCATCCCTTGCCGAAGGAAGTTTCCTATATGTATGATATTCCCATTACATCCCATTAAATCCACGTTTCCACATGAAATCCCCACGTAGTTACCATTAAATCCCATGAGAGATCACCCTTTTTTATCACCATTAAAACATGGTAAAACATCAATGACTCGGTGAAATCATCATTTTCATCATCCAATGGCCTCCTCGCTGGCGGAAGTTCTCAGGAGGCCCACGACGAAGAAGACGAAGTTCTCTCGGTGGACGATGAAGTGCTCACGGACACCCGGACACCCAACCGATGGGAGGAGGAGGTAGAGGAGGTGGGGGTGCGGAGGGGCGGAGGGTGGATTTCAGGGTCATTTCATGGTCATTTCATGGAGATTTCATGGGGGTTTAATGGGAATATCATGGGAATATTGTGATTTATTGGTGATTGAATGGGACTGAATGGAATTATATCCAACTAAACGGGGATTAAGTGAGATTTAATGGGATTTAAGAGAAAGATCATGGGAATATCCTGGGAATATAATTGGGATTAAATGGGATTATATCCCATTAGCTGGTGATTAAATGGAATTGAATGGAGATATAATGGGCATATCATGGGGATATTTTCACAAGATATAGAACACCAAGAATATAGTATTGGGATGTATTGGGAATGTAGCCTCTGGTGTCATCAAACATGGCTAGCTGGGAAATATCCCAACTGAATGGAGGTTTATAGATGCTCAAATCATCGAACTCAATGGCTATTTCGGTATTTCCCAGCATGCCATGTTTGATTTGCGGCTTGGGTTTTTGGGGTATGGAGCCGCCGCCCACACAGTGATGTTTCAATGGGGATTCAGTGGAGATTTGGCGGTCAAGGTCTAAGATCCTAGGAACTCCGTGAAACTTCACGATATTATGCAGGTAAGTCATTCATGTTTCAAAGTGCCCCTGTGTTAGGGGATGCCAAACAAAATCAACATGTATTGGAATTTATAGAAACCATATTAAAAAATAAAGGTTTTGCAACCCCGCCATGTTTGATATTGGAGGGTTCCGAACAAATCTGGCGATTCACAGGTGGAAGCTTTATCTTCCGAGAGCGCTGAAGGCGAGGGGATCACTGAGAATTCGCGGAGGATGATTTGAATGGGACAATTATGGGAAACCATCTGGGTATGGATCAATACCTATTAATACCATTTTTAGTGGGATGAACATCCATTTACCAGCTATTTTGATGTTCACCAGGGGTACAAGGTTTTGACACACTGCCATCTATAAATGGTGGGAAATCATCTATCATTAGTGGGATGAAGAAGTTTTGGGAGGTGACGGAGGTGACCCTCCCATTGTTACCAAGACCTTCCAGCAGAACCAACTGGGAAGAACCATGGTGATTTGATTCGGAGAATCATGGAGAATCCCAAGATTTACCTTCTGGTAAATTAACAGTTGGACCCTGAAAATCACCAATCTTTTTTGGAAACTCATCTTCCAACCCCGATGACTGCCAGGGTCGAACTGTTAGTTTACTGGAGGGTATAGCCTTATTTCAAGTGAGAGACTAACATTTACGGAACAAGTTTCGCTGATTGGGATGGTTCACCCATGGCAGCCCATGGCACCATGGCATGTCTTCTGCGAGACCTGACTGCAGTAGGAGAGTTTTTTTTTCACGGATGTGACTTACAGAAACCACTGAAACCAATGAAAAAATGTGGAATCCTGAGAATTGGGGTGATTCTCCCAGTTCTGGCCGAAGATTTCAAAGAAAAACCTTTACCTCTCCAGTTTCATCCAACGTGAATGGAACTTTAGTTGCTTTTACTTCGCCGGGAAATCGCCCATACATGGTGAATTTTCCACCAATGTTTGATTACCCGAGGGTACTATGATTCATCCAGATATCCATGTTGTTGATTTTATGTCTCCACAAGTTGGCAACATCAAGAAAGCCTCATTAGCCTCTATATATATATATAGATGTGGTTAAAACACTCATAAACCATCCCCAAAATCACAATTTTTTTGGGTGGTATATATCATCCAAAATGGAGGTGGTTTATTGTTTTAACCACAGAAAAATCCAGATACCCTCTGGTAAACTAACATAGCTATTGAAAATGGCCATAGAAATAGTGGATTTTCCCATAAAAAATGGTGGATCTTTCCATACTTATGTGGCTGTTTACCAGAGGGTAGACCCATTGAACCCGGTTTGTTGGCAGACATCTGTCAGCCCCTGGCAGGCCTGACGACAGTGGCTTCAATGGATTCCGAGCGAGCCAGAGGCGGGGCGTTGACCCACCGAAAGGGTCTTCCCAGCCGATGGGTTTGCTGAGGTAAAAACTCGTAAAAACATGTAAACACCATAGATTTGGAGGCAACACATCCTTAAAATATAGCATACTGCATAGTTCTTGGAAGAATGTGTTCAACATGGTTGCAATTCCTGCAGAAAGGCGTTCAAGACATCACCCGCACTTGTGTGTTACAACATGAATTACTTTCATTATATATCGGTCAGAACGCCGCAGCCCATAGCACCTGTAGCCTAGGCTCTTTTCTAAGGGGATGGAACACTGAGAGAAATACCCGGAAACTCGATTTCTGAAGAGTTCTTCGTTTCAAGTGCACCTTTTCTGCAATCGACTTCCACGACATCACAAGCCACAGATCGTATTCGTAAGTTTCGAGCATTTTCAGCCAACCACATTTTGTGGGGATATTCCCTTACATAGGCCTTATATATGGTAGGTACCTCCAATGGGTTCCGCAGAGTTTTTCCAAGTTCAAATCCGCCGACCATCCTTGGAACTGCCGCGATGGTTCGAGTGGTGACATTGAGCGGTGAGGATACCTTCGGGGGGGTTGGCAGTTCACCGCCGGGATCACAACGCAACGTACCCGTTGTACCCGGGATAAACCGAGGTGGTGCCCCCCCAGTGATGTGAATGTTGGTTTATAAACCATAGTAAGTAGTTCGATATACCCTCTGGTAAACTAACATAGCTATTGAAAATACCCATTAAAAATTGTGATTTTCCATAGTTATGTAAACGTTTACCAGTCCGGGTATCTACCATAAACCATAGTGAAATTGGAGTTATGAACGCACCAGTTCGTAGCGATTTAGCGAACACAGGGGACCTTGGTTCGTTGGCGATGAAACAACCCACCCCTGTGTGGAAGAGCTAGTGGAAAGCCAGGCCGCCAGGCTCCAGAATTCCATGGGGTGAATGGGAAGTTGGTTCATCTCGCATAATCCAATGGAATTTATCATTAATCCATCATATATAGTTATATGATCTATGATAGATATATGATATATGATAGATATATCCATTATATTAGATATATCATTACATATTATTAGATGATCTCTAATTACCTATATAGTTATCATTAATATCGTTAGACTACATGGATAGACCGTCTTACTACATGGATAATTGATTTGAAGACGACAGAACATATTGTCACCTCATTCTAATGGGGCACGATAGTTCCCCAGTTCCTACACACACACGTATATACACACACACGTATACACACACACGTATACACATGTACGTATACACACACACGTATACACACACACGTATACACATGTACGTATACACACACACACACGTACGTATACACACACATAATATATGTACATGGGGGTCGTTCTAAACCCCCTTGAAGGAAATTTAGTGGAGGCGTTACTTTGGTGATTCTGTAGGGCAAAAACACATGATTTTTCCAGGGAAGGCGCAAGAAGGCGCAAGGGCGAGCGCAAGGTTGTATAAGTATAGATATATAATTTCCTGCTTTCTCTTGCTTTTGTTTCTTTTCTTTTCCTTTCTACTTTCCTTCTACTACTACTACTACAACAACAACTACTACTACTACTACTAGTACTACTAGTACTACTAGTACTACTAGTACTACTGGTACTACTAGTTCCACTACTACTACTAGTACCACTACTACTACTACCACGACTACTAATACTACTACTACTACTACCACTACTACTACTTCTAGTGCTACCACTACTACTACTGCTACTACTACTACTTCTACTACTACTACTACTACCACTACCACTACCACTACTACTACTATTTATATTTCTACTACTACTACTACCACTACTACTACTACTACTACTACTAGTACTACTGCTACTACTACTACTACCACTACCACTACCACTATTACTACTGCTGCTGCTACTACTACTACTACTACCAATCAATGCACTGGTGCCTCCACTACTAGCACCATGTCAGGAATAATGATAGCATAGGGCAGGTCTGAAACAGGTCTGAAACAGGTCTGAAACACTCAAAACGTTGAAGTTGCGTACCTTTTCCCCTGCTACTACCTAGTACTACTACCTAGTACTAGTAGTAGTAGTAGTAGTAGTAGTACTAGCAAGTAGTAATGGTAGTACTAGCAAGTAGTAGTACTAGGTAGTAGTACTAGGTAGTAGCAGGGAAAAAGGTACGCAACTTCAACGTTTTGAGTGTTTCAGACCTGTTTCAGACCTGTTTCAGACCTGCCCTATGCTATCATTATTCCTGACATGGTGCTAGTAGTGGAGGCACCAGTGCATTGATTGGTAGTAGTAGTAGTAGTAGCAGCAGCAGTAGTAGTAGTGGTAGTGGTAGTGGTAGTAGTAGTAGTAGCAGTAGTACTAGTAGTAGTAGTAGTAGTAGTAGTGGTAGTAGTAGTAGTAGTAGTAGTAGAAATATAAATAGTAGTAGTAGTGGTAGTGGTAGTGGTAGTAGTAGTAGTAGAAGTAGTAGTAGTAGCAGTAGTAGTAGTGGTAGTACTAGAAGTAGTAGTAGTGGTAGTGGTAGTAGTAGTAGTATTATTAGTAGTCGTGGTAGTAGTAGTAGTAGTGGTACTAGTAGTACTAGTAGTACTAGTAGTACTAGTAGTAGTAGTAGTAGTAGTAGAAGTAGTAGTAGTAGTAGTAGAAGTAGTAGTAGAAGTAGTAGTAGTAGTAGTAGTAGTGGTAGTAGTAGTAGTAGTACTAGTAGTAGTAGTAGTAGTAGTTAGTAGAAATATAAATAGTAGTAGTAGTGGTAGTGGTAGCGGTAGTGGTAGTAGTAGTAGTAGTAGTAGTAGAAGTAGTAGTAGTAGTGGTAGTAGTAGTAGTAGTACTAGCAAGTAGTAGTAGCAGTAGTAGTACTAGATAGTAGTACTAGGTAGTAGTACTACTAGTGCTACTAGTGCTACTAGTGCTACTAGTGCTACTAGTACTACTAGTACTACTAGTACTACTAGTACTACTAGTACTACTAGTACTAGTAACTACTAGTACTGCTAGTACTAGTACTACTAGTACTACTAGTACTACTAGTACTACAACTACTACAACTACTACTACTACTACTACTACTAGTACTACTACTAGTAGTACTACTAGTACTACCTCTACTAATCCTATTACTCCTACTACTACTTCTTCTATTATTACTTCTTCTTTTACTACTACTACTACTTCTACTACTACTACTAGTACTACTAGTAGTACTAGTAGTACTACTAGTACTACCAGTACTACTATTTATATTTCTACTACTACTACTACTGCTGCTACTACTACTACTACTGCTGCTACTACTACTACTACCACTACCACTACCACTACCACTACCACTACTACTACTACTACTACCACCACTACCACTACTACTACTATTTATATTTCTACTACTACTACTACTACTACCAATCAATGCACTGGTGCCTCCACTACTAGCACCATGTCAGGAATAATGATAGCATAGGGCAGGTCTGAAACAGGTCTGAAACAGGTCTGAAACAGTCAAAACGTTGAAGTTGCGTACCTTTTCCCCTGCTACTACCTAGTACTACTACCTAGTATTACTACCTAGTACTACTACCTAGTACTACTACCTAGTATTACTACTGCTACTACTACTTGCTAGTACTACTACTACCACTACTACTACTACTTCTACTACTACTACTACTACCACTACCACTACCACTACCACTACTAGTACTATTTATATTTCTACTACTACTACTACTACCAATCAATGCACTGGTGCCTCCACTACTAGCACCATGTCAGGAATAATGATAGCATAGGGCAGGTCTGAAACAGGTCTGAAACAGGTCTGAAACACTCAAAACGTTGAAGTTGCGTACCTTTTCCCCTGCTACTACTTAGTACTACTACCTAGTACTACTACTTGCTAGTACTACCACTACTACTTGCTAGTACTACTACTACTACTACTTCTACTACTACTGCTACTACTACTACTACTTCTACTACTACTACTACTACGACTACTACTAGTACTACTAGTACTACCAGTACTACTATTTATATTTCTACTACTACTAGTACTACTACTACTACTACTACTGCTAATACTACTACTACCACTACCACTACCACTACTACTACTACTGCTGCTGCTACTACTACTACTACTACTACTACCACTACCACTACCACTACTGCTGCTGCTGCTACTACTACTACCACCACCACTCAATGCACTGGTGCCTCCACTACTAGCACCATGTCAGGAATAATGATAGCATAGGGCAAGTCTGAAACAGGTCTGAAACAGGTCTGAAACACTCAAAACGTTGAAGTTGCGTACCTTTTCCCCTGCTACTACCTAGTACTACTACCTAGTACTACTACTGCTACTACTACTTGCTACTACTACTACTACTACCACTACTACTACTTCTACTACTACTACTACCACCACTACCACTACTACTACTATTTATATTTCTACTACTACTACTACTACTACTCTTACTACTACTACTACTACAACTACTACAACAACTACTACAACTACTACTAGTACTACTAGGACTACTAGTACTACTAGTACCACTACTACTACTACCACGACTACTAATACTACTACTATTACCACTACTACTACTTCTAGTACTACCACTACTACTACTGCTACTACTACTACTACTACTACTACTTCTACTACTACTACTACTACCACGACTACTACTAGTACTACTAGTACTACCAGTACTACTATTTATATTTCTACTACTACTACTACTGCTACTACTACTACTACCACTACCACTACCACTACTGCTGCTACTACTACTACTACTCCTGCTACTACTACTACTACTACTACTACTACCAATCAATGCACTGGTGCCTCCACTACTAGCACCATGTCAGGAATAATGATAGCATAGGGCAGGTCTGAAACAGGTCTGAAACAGGTCTGAAACAGGTCTGAAACAGGTCTGAAACACT